GTTGGGTTTCGGAAACCCAGAGATGCAATACAGGTTGGGATTGTCCCTTCTCCAACGAGAACCAGGCACCCCGAGGTGGAAATTTGGTCAAAGTAGGACCCTAGAGTGAATGGCAACTGTGTTCAAACGAATTCAAGGGCCCAAACGCCCGAGCCTCCCAAGCTTGCCCCAGTCAAGCACTGGCGTCGCTTGTCCCTTGGAACATGGTCTCTTGAAAGGGGGCTCTTAGGACCACACAATGCTGCCGGACGTCAGCTAGGTGGGCAAGGGGAGTGAAGGGTGCAGGGGGTGTTGCATGTTGAGTAACGACCATTTGTTTTAGCAGATAGTTCTGGTTCTACCTGATTTCAACAATGTAGACATGTAAAAAGTGTATACACAATACTGTCATGACCTCGTTGGTAGAAGCAAAAGTCACGTTGCGTTGCTGAGTTGGGACTTGCAAGCCGCTGTTTGCGGATGTGGCTGATCTTGTGACTGGCCGGCTTTGGTTGCCCTTGTGCCATCCAGCAGCATGAGATTTGTAGGGTCGATTTTTCTTTTGCCCGGTCGGATTTGTTTTCTTGAATAAGCGGCCCTTTCCCTAGTGGTTGGTGTTGTTTTCCTCTGGAAAGACGGGCCCCCGGCAAGAATGGGGAAGTGTGTCCTTGAAATTCTGGCATGCCATCGAGCAAACAGGTAGACTTGAACAAAGGAGCAGTGCTTGATGCTTAAAAATGGCCTAGCAGCTTCTGAGTGCAGAATCCCAGCGGCGCAATGTTCTATCGGCGTGCTTTGCTTGTTTGAGTTTGGTGGACAATAGTTGGATTCCATGGCCTTTTGGATGATTTTTGTTTCGTTCTACACATGTACACGTTTACGCTTGGAATACCTACTTTTGTCAAACACACACATAGGGTCATGCTGTTTGCTCTCAACGATGCAATCGCCCAATACCCAGGTACCAATCTTCTGTGAAGCGAGCCAAAGATCTGGAATACCACCTCACACAGCCAGTGGACACACTTTACACTTTTTCCCTTGGTGGCTCTCCCTTTATTTTAGTGGTGGCCCAAAAAGTGTATACTTTTTTGGGGCTGGTCACTAGCCAAGTGAGCCACAGCTGGACAGTTCGTGGGAGCAAGTGAGGCAAATACCACCTTGCTTGTGACTCTCCCTCGCTTTTCTGGGACAAGCTGATTACCCACGAAATAAAGCCGTTTCCTTGAAGATTGCAAGGAATGGTGGTGCGCCCAGATGAGTTGCCCACTTGGATGGTCAGCCCACTTCCACTTGGTGGATATACGCTGCAACCTCTGCTGACATGCCGCCATGGCTGCCTGATTTCTAAGCTTGACCATCTTGGCCAGGGTTGCGCGCCACTCATGTTTCAGCTTAGAACACTCTTGGGGCCTTCTGGCGGTCATCAGGTATCTGGCCCGAGGGTTCTTAGGTTCCCCAGTAGTGCCCTTTTACCCTTTTTTGGGGGAGGGTTCCCCTACTAAAATAGACTACAGAAAAAAGGATCCCTTATTCTAACCTCTGTACTGGAGGACCTAGGTTCTATATGGTTTATGACCCGTGTCGAGCTTTCAAGCACCTGTTCACACGAGATTTTCAGCCTGGAAGAAGCTGCTTTCCCCTAAGAGCCAGTTGGCAGTGTGTCAAAAGCTTGGGTCTCACTTTTAGGGTCCATCCGTTGACCATGGAAACTGGGAGGCTCCAGCCACTCTTCAACCGGATCTCTGTGCTAAAGAAACTCTGATGCCCCTTCTTCTTTCTGTTTCCCTGGAGGGGGTTTCCCTTCAACGCCGACCACCAAAACAACAATGGCTGGGTTTGTTTTAGCCCCGGTCAAATTTACTTTGGGGAGGGGTAGTTGGCTAGGGGGTAGTTAGACATACCATGAAACAACAACTGTTCACTCGATTTTTTCCCACCAGACGGAGCTGAAAGCGCGTTGTGAAAGCGGGCCATGCGTTTTTCCATGCTCGAGCTTTCAGGTTGGATCCTGAGCATCGGTACCTCGCTGGGTTTCACACAGGGGTCTGCGTTTCGAGCCAATATGTTAAGCCCGCATTCATTGCCACTGACTAAACGTTTGCCCTTTGCCCGTTTGCGTTTCCTTCAATTTGCCCTTTTTAAGCGAACAGGCTCGCTTTTGGCAAGGTAGTCTAAGTCTGGCCAGATTAGGGAGTATTTCCCCAAGAGATCCGAATCCCTCTTACATGGGACGCCTGCGAGCAAAATCAACCAGGGGTTTCTTAGTTTGGGGCTCCCATTGCAAGATGCTGGCAACTTGGTCCAGTTCTCAGTCCTGGCTTCTCTTCGGTACTGTCACCAATGCGTATGGGGTGTGTGGTTGAGGGTACCCTTTGGGGGGCGGTGTCCAGCCAAAAGGAGAGCTCCATTTCGAGGGCCGTTTTGTTCACCTGTCAAGCCGGTTTTTCCCAAGGGCCAAGGGAAGAGCAGAAGATTCCGTGCAATCAGCAAGAAGCTCCAGTCAGGTTGGTAGGTCTATATTCCTCTTTTAAGTCAGCTGAATCATCCTCTTTTGGAGCCAACTGTAGCTGAGTTTCGTCTTGGGGTGATGTTGAAAGGACAAAAGCAGGGAGATAGGGAGCCATGTTGTGGGGGCTGTCTTGGGTTCGTCGTTGCCTATTGGATTTTGCAGGTCTAGGGCTGCAGGATTTTGCTGGATTAGCAAGCGCCTCAAATTGACATTCATCATTGCTTAGGGCTTTAAACTAGCATGGAACCCAGCAGTGTTTGTCGTGTCTAACCAACATAGCCATCAAAGAAGCGCCCCCAGTGGTTTCCTCACGTTTCAGCTGGACCGACGGTCTACAAGCCCTCGCCCGCCCAAAAGCCAGACCCCCGTTCCATGCCAGGGTGGTCCGTTTTAGACTAATCCGCCTATCAAGCAAACAGGATGTTTCTCGAAAAGGTGAACGCACCTTTGGATGCTTTTAAAAGGGGACCACCAAAGTTGAGAAACACCCGTATGACTAACCTTTTGCTATGCCTAGTCTCTGGAATGCCAGACTGGTTCCAGAGAAAGACAATCGGACCACTCTGTTCCCCGCCATATCATAGCAAGTCGCGCTCCGCATATGCGGCGCGTGACAAAACGTCCCCGCGCGGGTTGGATTGGAGGACGAACTGCCGAACGGCTGAGAGTGTTTCAGTCAAGAGAGGCAAAATCGGACGTGTTGGCCCGTGGTGGCATTGTTTGCCCAAAGAAAACTGAGCTTTCGACCTGTTCCAGGGTCTCTATAGACAACTGGGATCAATCAAGTCACGTGAACTGGTTCTGAATTGCTGTTCGGCGTCGTTGCCATTGGGTGTTTTTTTGCCTGGATCAGCTCAAACTGATTGCTATCCGAGTGATCCGCATGGTTCCAGGATTGTGAGTTTGTGGTCCTCCCGCGCCGAATTCGTCCAGGATGTGTAGGTATAATGCAGCTGAGGCTTTCAGATTTGGCCTCAAAAAGCGAGCGACAGCGAAGCGGCGTCCGAAACACCTCGATCAGTTGACAACAAGAAGCTTGCGCGAAACATGAGGATGGATGCTCCAGAAACATTTTGCGCATGGGGTGAGAATGTCTTTGTTTGAGGGTACTCGTTGTTTCTTTGGGGGGGGGGAGCTGTGTTCAAAGGTTGTCGGGGTTCGTCATTGTAAGACAACCCTTCCATATTGGCAGACAACGGAACTGTTCCATGCTCACGAACGCGGCCAGAAACAACTTTGAGCAATGTTGGTAAAGGGCTTAAGTCCGTGTGGTAAAAGGGCTTGGGATATTTGAGAAACGGTCAACCCTTTCTGTCATTCACTGCAAAGGGAGCGACATTGGATACATTCACCAAATTACAATGAACAGGTAGAAGCTATTGGCCACATGTCCATATCAAAGGGGGACACCATGCACAATGACAGTTGTTTATATCATCCGTGTTATGCTAAACTGCTAAACCTTTATATTTGTCATAGCAGACCCAAACGTCAAGAGGGCTGAGCGCCAAGTTGTTGAACATGTTCAATTCGTTGTTTGGACTCCCTTCTAGAACATCCAGACTTAATTGACTTAATCTGCCATTCCCCGTCAACCTTTTACAGACTCTCAGAGAAGTAGACAAGCAGCCAGGAAGGCTTGGAGATCACTTTAGCCACAGTCGCCCCCTACTGCTGGGATACTCCAGCTGCCCTGTGGCGCTCTGTTTCATTGGAAGGCGGTGTTTCCTCAAATTTTGGCAAGACGTAAGCAACAGGGCAGAGATCAATTTCTGACATGTCTGATTCCAAATGCCTTGTGCACCACCAGTGCCGGAGAATGTGGGCAGACCCACACTGTGAGTCTCCCTGCGAGTCTCATGATTTGGGGTCTGTTTTGGGCAAGCACGCTGCTCCTGACAAATCAGCGTGCCTCGAACTGGTTTGGAGCCCGCTGGTTTGGTGGTTCAGGAAGGGGTTCCCATCTACCCTCTACAAGAACCAGACCCAATGTCTCATTCGCAGCGAGGGAGGGAACACTTTGCAAGTCCCACAACAGACTGCCGGGCTGGGTTTCACAGGTGCGTCACTTCTTGAGGGATGCCTTTTGGGGTTTGTTCTGGAGGGGAACATTCTCTTCACAGACCGGGGCTGGTCCGCGTCCCATTAGACACACACACACACACACAGCTGATCGCGGCTTGTTGGGCGAGGTCCCGTTCCGCGTTCTGCGGGTGGGTCACTCCGGGGGTGCATTTGGAACCCAATTCCTTCAGAGCCTAAAGCGACAGGGTGCAATCCTGAGGGTAACACCTATTTAGAGGTTGCTTCGATATGGACGCTCCACCATTTTGGGGTCTCGCATTTGCTTCCATTAGCATTTGATCAAGAATATTGTTTACTTTCCCTGTTGGTTTTAAAGTTGGAATCGATCACTATTGGACATATATGTTTCCAGGCGAAAACGCAAATCGATCGAACGCTTTGACACCTTAGGATTCGGCCAAGAGCGCCGAAGACCGGCGCCCAGGTGGTGATCCTGCGGGGCCTCGGCAGTCTTGACCTTGAGCCGTGGCTCGGCATGGATCCGCCCGACGTGTTTCTGTTCTTTTGGTGCTTTTGTGGTTGCCTTATGTTGTGCTTTTGTGTTGCTTTGCTTTGCTTTGCTTTGTTTTGTTTTGTGCGTTCAGTTGGAGGTCTGCAGACCTTTGACAACAGGTCTAACTATTGATTTGGATTCGCATTACAGCCATTTGCCAGGCGTGAAACTACCCGAGGTGCCTTGATTGGACCAAGCATTGACTGAGATGTGTGTGTCTGGGTGTCTGTGCCCAAATAGGCTGGTTTCGTCTTGGTGTCCATTTAAAGTAGCCTGCAAAGGGTACCCGCAATGGCAAAATCCCAATTTGGGATCTTCAGCTGCGAGGTGTTTCGTGTAGCACGCTGTGTATTCGCACATTGCTTCTGAGTGTTGCTCCAAAATGCAGTAGTCTATGGTCAATTTGGGACGGACGAGGGGCACTATTAAGCTTCCCGCACAACATGAGGGGGTTTTCGGATGATCACACATGCGATTGTCCTTTGTTTCGCAGAATCCCCTTTTGGTTTTAATTGGAAACCGATCTGGCAACTAACCATTTTAGCAACAACCCCATTGACCGCTCTTCTAGCCTTTGATACTAACCCCCTCATCGTCCTGACAGCCCGCATGCGCAAGGCTCGTTACAGCCCCCAAGCTTGTTGCAAGAGAAGTACACAGTGACGCACCAGGGCGCTTAAAAGACATCTAGCCTACTGTGGATGGACAAAATCCATTTCGCACCACTTTGAAACCGTGGTTGAATCCATTGTTGGTATTTACAGGGGAATCATCATCCCAAGGATTCTGAACGGTGGTGCGAGAAGCGGATTTCGAAACCATCGACAGTATTAAAGAGCTCTAGGCACGACCTCACCATGATGGCGGTTTGCTTGAGGATCCTTTTGGGTTTGCATGGAATTCTACAGAACTCGGGTCGTGGGTTGAGGTCATTGAGATGATTTTTTTCAGAAGGATCTCTGTGGGCTGAGTTATTCTGCGAAGAAAAACAAAATAAGCTCAGGCGATGTCCCCAACAACACCACACCCTCCCAGAATCCTCGCGGAACCCGCCCCGGGACCCACCTCAACGCCGGTTTTGCTGAGCCTTGTAACTTTATAAAGCAAAGCCAAGAGTGACAGCGCCCTGATCAGGCCCGGGCCCCGTCCCGTGGTGCAAGCAGGGTTCCCACCAACCGCGCATATTAATTATAGCCCAACGCCGGTTTCCTTAGGATGCGGCCTTACAACTGTATCTAGCAAAACTAGGCGATGCCAGCTTGGTACAGTTGACGGGGCCCGACTGAGTCAGGCCCCGATCGGGGCCCGACGGTGCAATCGGGGCCTGATCGGGCCCCGACGGTGCAATTGCCCCGACCTGGGCCCTGTGAACCTCGCATACCGTCCTCATGGAACCCTCGTAAAGCTTAGCGTGAAACTTTGTTGGAACCTTTCCTCAGGGCTGCCCCATAGTTTTTGCAGAACCTGCTGGAAACCTCGTGGAGCGTTTTTATAGCCCACGCAGCCTCGTGGAACCCTGAAAAACCCAAAGCCCACCAGCATGTACTCTGCTGCACAGTGAGTCTCGCAGCAACGTGATATGATTTGCCACAAATCCAACGTTTCGGGCCGCGTTGTCTGAGCAAGTGAGCAATTCAAAACAATGAAAGCGTGCTGCGCAAACCATTGATTTCGGTTTTGCTTAGTGTTCCGCCCATGAGCGAAGCGATCTTCTGAGCCCTCCATTTACTGCTCTGCGCACGGCACATTGCTTCTTTGGTGAAACCTTGTGGAGCCTTGCGGAACCGTGGTGGAATGCCTGTGTGGAAATCTGTGGAACCTTGTGGACCTCACCTCAGAGCCGCCCCGGACCGTGGTACAGCCCTCATGGAACCTTACCTCGCAGATCCTGGTGGATACCCTGGTGGAACCCTCGTGGAACCTCCTCGCAGAACCTGGCCCTCGTTCAAACCACCCCGGACCACCCTTGCAGAACCTGGTGGAGAACCCTGGTGGAACCCTCGGGGAACCTTACCCCCGGACCACCTCGGAGCCTATCTGGGCTGAGACCCCAAAGCTTTCAGCTGTTGGGGGAAAAAGACCAAACATGGTTGGTTGCCATTTTGAGGTCTTGAATTGGGAACAGACCAAAGTTCGCGACTGAGGATCTCCTTCGACAACAACTCCTTGCCGCTGATCCCATCTGCAGAGGCGCTCCGGACCGAAAAACGCGCGCGCAGACGAGAGACCGGCGCCGCAGGATTTTTTTGGTTTAGTCGGGTGGAGTTGACCGAAATCCACCAGGCAGATAAAGGGGAAGAACCAAGAACCCCCCCCCGAGTTTTTGAGCGGGTTTCAATCTTATTGGTGAAAACATGTGAAAACTATCTTAGGATGGTCAGCCGCCAAATTGGCCCCCTTTTTCTGCCACTGCGCCACAGGGATGTGCGTG